TCAGACAAAGAAAAGTAAGTATATAGTTATTCTATAATTCTGTCGTCATGTATTCCCCTCATGTTTTTCTAAACCCATATGACTTTCTTCTTTGGAACACAGACAATTTGAATACTGCGCTGGTTGCTCTTTCACATGCAAGACAAGCATTAAAGGGACACAAAAGAACCATAAAAGTATTGTCAAGTGCAAGTGACTTGAGTGCTATATTTCAGGTCTTCTGAAGTCATAAAATAGCTGTGTGTTTGAAAGACTATAATTTAAGCTGTTATTCACTGATAATATTCTCCTCCAGTGCATTCAGATCAATGGGCGCTTCTCATTTCTTAAATTGTGCATCCTCATTTTCTTTCCTCGTGTCCAAGCTCCTCCCAACTATGATGTGAGGCAAGGATTGAAAATGAGGATGGAGGAAAATAAAATAAAAAACACAAAAACAAACATTTGTGTATTGGAATATTTTCGATCATCTGCCTCAAGGTTTGGTTATTTATGAAATTCATAATTATTAATGAAGCAATATGCCCTGTTGAAATACACTTAAAATATTTAGCCCTAAATTTTAAATTTCCATCCATTTGGATTACAAAGTTTTAACATAAACTAATAAACGTAATATTTGTCAGTCATACATAAATGAAACGGGAAAAAAAATTCTGCACTCAAAAAATCATGGCATAGGCCTAGTTTATTAAAGGTACAGTAAGCATTTTCTGAGAAACGCCGTTGAAAGTGGATCAGTCCGAGCACCACAACACTCCTGTGGCAGTAGGAGGCGTATACACTCATCATGGGGTAGGCGAGAGAGTGAGCAAGAGGGAGATTTGAAGAAAGACTGTTGAAAGAGAGATGGCCGAGAGACATTATAAAAGAGAAAAGGTCAGAGGAGTATTATTGGAAAAATAAGGGTCATGATCAGGCAAGAGCTTTAGGAAAAGCTTTCCAGCACTGGAGAAAGCTAGGCGGGAAGGCCTGAAAACGGACGCCAAGGTTGTGTTTCTGCTCCATAATATGCTGTTGTTGTAATGTTAGCTATAGTTACAGGACAGTTTTGAGTGTCATTGTTTGTCTGGAGCTGCTGTGCTGCTGCCGACTAACAACCAACTCTTCCTTGTATTCTCTTCCTTGTTCTTTCGTCATCTTCACTTTATTTTTCACGAAGCATTATTTTGCTTCACTTCAGCAGTGTTGGGGAGTAGCTAGTTACATGTAACGGTGTTATAGGGCTGGGCGATATGGCCAAAAAAAATTATCCCGATAATTTTTTTATATCAGTCGATATCGATAATTATCACGATAAATGTTAAATCTTTATTTCTTTAAGTTTAAAGGCAGATTTTTGCTCCTAAGTGAAAGTTGTAGAAACCAGAGCGTTAATTGTGGTTTTAAACTACTCTTTATTGTCAGAACATATCATGACCAACACTTGCCAAACAGGTGAACATTTCACAAATCTGAGGTAAAACATCATTTGTCATTTTTCCTTAACAAAATAAATATCTGAATAGAAAAATATATTTCTTAAGATTCTGCATGTGCTAATGGGGGATATTAAGTCTTGAAACAGGTTTGTGTTGCTGCCTGACTTTGATGGCACATATCTTCAGCACAGTTTGCAGTGCAGGCTGCAATATTAATATTACATGTTTTGTCTCGAAACGCATATTTGACAGTGAGTAGACAGTAAATCTGCATCCTAACTCAAGCTAATACTACTATGTTAAATTTATGTTCATTAACAAAAACAGTAACACCTGTTAAAAATGTAACTACCACATTTTTATTTGGTAAAATGTAATCTGAGTTTTATTAAAATGAACCATTGGTCATCCAGTATCATGCATTTAGATCATGATAACCACAGATAAAGCCAGGCATAGCCTACAGCACCTCACTATCATGGCAAAATGTAACTTTATGGTTTCTATGGTATTTGTATGAAAAAAAAGTAGCCTAAATACTGTAATTATATTCCATTAGTCATTTAAAACATTGTCTACATTAATAATATAATACAATTCAGTATGTATATCCCACATTTCATGGTGCAGTTAATATTTCTAGGCTAACCTTACAGTAAATCCATGGTAAATGGATTCAGTATCAATTCATATTCTGACTGTGTCACAGTGTTTCTCCTGTTTGTCAGCGCTGTTTCATCTGCCTTTAAACTGGTTTAAATCACTGAGTCATGTGTGTTCTTCGCTGAACTCAAGCGCTTCTCACTGGATCTCGTGAGCGAGACGATCAGAGTAAACGCGTCTGCTCTAGTCATGGCTCTAGTGAGCTCGCGCGTGCTGGCGTTTGGACTTTGAGCCGAGGGGATAAATATCCTTGAGGCGCGCGCGGTTCAAATGAGTTTCGTTCCGCTTTTGGCGCATAAACATTATCGAACATTTCTCGAACTCTTGATATCGTTTTATCGAGAAAAATTATATCGCGATAATTATCGTTATCGTTTTATCTCCCACCCCTACGGTTTTATGTAAATTAATTACAAATATAATCTGTAATCCGACACAGTTTCTAAGAAAAATTGTGTAGTTAAATGAGTTACTTATGAAAATGTTAACGTTTACAAAGGGGTCTTTCATCTGAATATTTTTTTGTAAAAAGCTACGATATGTTGAATAACATTAATTTGTTGCTTTGCCTATTTTTGATGTGCACAATGCCTCCAGCCATTTAAAGGCCGTTTAGTAAAGCGATGCTATTCTGATTCTTTTGAATGGCTCTCTTGTTTGAATTTGCAATCCACATTGCCGCTGAAAGCTAGGCTATAACTTGTCTGAGAGTTGCCACCATTGGTGAATGATTAAAATGCGTTCCATGTGCTGGAATTATATATAAAAAAAAATCATTCAGAAATCTGTATTTAACCTCAGAACAATCTCAAAATAAAAAGAGGTGCTAAAATCTGATTTTGTGGTAGCTGTGCTTTAAAATTAAATTATTATAATCTTAATTCAAGTGATGAAGGATTTTGGAAGTCTGATAGTAATCAGTGTTAAGTACTACTGTAAGGTTAAGCCTGCCTGGTTTAAATGTTTGAAAATGATTAAGTTGAAAACATTAGTTAGAAATTTTGAAAAGTAATCAAATGTAATAAGTTACATTAATAAAGTAATTAGTTACACTCCTCATGGGGCAATTAGAGAATTGAGATGTCCTTCAAGATGGCTGACGTCGATCAACTTCCAGGTTACAGGCTGGAGAACGGAGGAGCAAACAAATAAGAAATCATTCATTCGAGTATTGAGATGCACCAGTTGAGTCAGCGAGCCCGAGAACCAGTTTTGTGAACTAGATAATTTGATGATCCTTTTACACCTTGGATGTCACTCTGTTGTATATCAAGATACTGAACAGTTAATTGTTTGTTAATTCAATTTTATTTCGTTCCTACATAAAGCCTCCATGTGACTTCAGAAGAGTTTAATTTAGTTCATTGACGGCTACAGTACTTTCACTTTCATTATATAGACAAGTTTCACCAAGTTATTCTTCAGGAATTCACCTTTTGTGCTCCATAGAAGAAACATCAAACTGGTTTGGAACATCATGAGGGCGAGTAAATTAGGACCATACTTGTTGTTACATTAGGTTATGATGTCAGATTAGACAAACTAGACTGATTATGAACTTCTTTTTCTTTCTTTTTTTGAACCAGGTACAACAGACTAGCGAGAGAATGGACCCAGAAGTATGCAATGTGAAGACTTAATGGACATTTTTTTAAGTCACAAATCACTGTAAATTCTAGCATCTAAAAGTAAGATTAGGTTATATTATTAAACAAATTGTACTGTTAACATTTACCATCTGAAATGACCAATAATAATAGCTTAACTAGTATTTTGAAGGGGACTGTGCATTGCACAAAGACATTAAGCTTTTTATTGGTTTTGTGCATTTGGTCATCCCCGCAGTGGTGTTGGGCACTTTTTCTTGTTTCATAAATCATATTTAAGATTGGCATGATATTATACAACTGCAGTTACCCTACAAGAGGGCAATTAAGAAATTGAAAACCGTTTTATTGTATCTCTCATTCAGTTTTGATTCAGTTCATTCAGATTACATTTTCTTTTAGATATTTTTATTGTATAGTTAAGAGCAACTATACTGGATCTATTTTTTTCTTTTTTCTTTTGCATTAAAATTTGTTTAAAAGCGTGCATCTGTGTTTCTGGTATTTTAATTTGTGTTTACTCTCATTTGTCTTTTATTTGCTGAAATACTATTTGAACTGGCCTTGATTACAAGTTACCAATCAGTTCCACAAGCAGGTCTATTTCCTCTAAATCCAATGCAGGAATGAATATTCACTCTCTGATTTTGAAATCAATCTGCCGTATTGCATATCCGTCCGAAAGGCAATTTTGCTTCATTCTTCCTTCCTAATCAAAACTTAATTAATTCTGTTGTATTAAACCCCCTAAACAATAAAAAGAATGTAATTAGAGGCTAATCTATATATCCCCATAGGTATTCACATACTATTTAGCCATACATTTAGTTGGTGTTTGTAATCAGGTCCTCATATAATTACAACGACATTCCCAGTGGGATTTCACAAATTATGCCATCAGGGATTTTCTTAATTGCACAATACTTTGAGAACACAAATTATATCGCTATGTAAACTATTTTCCATCTCAATGTGTTTTTAGTACAGTTTGTTTTTATCAGCTTTCTCATTAGTCACACAATAACTGAACATCCATCGCATAAACAGACTTTTATCACATCCGATGATTATAGTTTTTTTTTTTCTACCCGGAAGTATTTACAATTATGGCTAGCCAGCCATTCGCCGTTATTAGGGGTAAAAAAATCCATGTTAGACTCCACGTTAGCCTCCTAATATTATCATATTCCCAAAAATTTACCCAGTGTGGACCATAGGTGTGCACGTTTAACGAAAAATAAGAGAAAAGAGCTCGACGTATTCTTTGACGCTTCAGCTCTCCGTGCGTCATGACATCACCCCCAGCGAGTCTCTCGGGGACGCGCGTCAGCTTGTGCGGGGCGGAAACAAAACAGCGAAGCGTTCGCAGAACTGCGAGTTCCCGTGCGATATGACTAACTCCGCCGGAATATCGTGTCGATCTTTGTACTCTGCTCGTTCCGTATCTACCATCTCGTACCAATTACCGAGGGAGGAGTGTAAACATCTCTGAAGTCAGGAAGTGGGATGTGGCCCAGGTGAAAAGCTCGTTATATGGTTGCGAGCGTGGGCGCCGTGACTGATGGCACGCGATCGGTCACACACATCAGGATGACGCGTCGAGGGTAGTGCGATCAATATGTGATTTTGTGTGTAGACAGTTGTTTAGAGAAATAAAGAGCCATTGCAGTGAAGTCTTCGGTCTCAGCATCATAATGGACTCTTCTGTGACGCTGGGGAGGCTGGAGCTCGCGCGCCCGTTGATGACCCGCGGCTCGTGTTTACCGGAGGGCGCGCAGAGCGCTCACCTGAACGGGTGCGTGCCGCTCTCTCATCAGGTGGCCGGACACAAGTATGGCGTTGATAAAGTGGGTCAGTACACTTTTGATTGAATTCCTTTTGATTTGAGTCTTGATTCTGTTATTTGAAATTGAACTGGTATTGTGCACTGGAGACCAGAGCTAGTTATCAAAATTTTTTACTCCAGTCAATATTTCTCAGGGTCAGTTTCTGTACGTGCACATAGCTTAAAGTATTATTTGTGTATAAAGCTGTTGAACAAATATTACCTTTATTACCCAGGAAACAAGATACAGTTGACTTTTTGTGACAACATGCTGTCACACACTATGTGGGGTAAGTTGTCACAGGGGGAACAACTTGTCATTAAACAGCCTTTCGTATGCTTAGCAGAAAATAAATAAATAATTGAGACACAAAATCATAAATGAAAACTGTATATATGTAACATAAATAATGCAATGCTACATTATGGATTAAAAACTTAATGTGTCATTTAAAATATATCAACAAAAATAAAGAAATTCCCACATAAAACAATTATTTTTATGGATGGAACAAAAAGTAATTTCTCATATTATAAATTGAACTTGAACTGATTGAAATTGGGAAAGCAATTATTTAGACATTCCAAATGTTATATTTACTGACAATCATGTAGCCTATGTGACAACTAGCCCTGGTCTCCTATTAGTAATATTTTCAAATATGCTTTTCCTGATGCAACTAAAAGATTTAATTCAAAAGGCTTCGTTTGTATCTGTATAGTTCTGACTCAATAGGATTTGTCTCATGACACGCTAATATGTTGATGACATGCAAAAAACCTCTACATGATATGACCCATATAGTGTCATTTGTAGAACAGTTTGAAACAGAATTTGCTCTTCTTGTCCCTCGAATTTTGCCGATGCAGTGGAACACGGCAAAGATTTGACTTGCATTTGTGTCAACGATCTTTATTTATTTCTGCACCTCACAAAGCATGTCAAGCACTTCTTCTGGTCACAAATATTGCATTCATTTATGTTTTTTCTTTTTTAATCGGTGTGTGGACAGATATATATATATATTTTTTACTATATTTTTTATTTTACTGTATTATTTATTTGCTTCTGTCCTCATAAACATGAATTTTCCATAATACATTTATTTTTACAATTTTATTTATGAATGAGAATAATCATTCAAGATTATAAAATTGAAAAACGGAACATTTAAACCATCCAGATGCATCACAGTGGTGGGAATAAGGGGGAAATATGCTTAATTCTCATGAAAGTATTGTTACAATGCAAACAAAAAACTGTAATAGTCCTGAGAATTTTTATTTTATGCAAAATATAGGCTTAGTAATGTATTACTATCTTTAGGGTGAAACCAATAGCGTGTAAATGTACCGTAAGTCGCAAATTGCTTTGCATAAGAGACGTATAGTATTCATTTACATAAAGGCATTTCCCCCTGGTTGATCATGTTTAACGTCAATAATTAATTCTTGTCATTTTTGCTTTTGTTTACCATTGATGTGAATTGCTTTTAAAATAGCTATTTTTAAAGAGGGGGAGCCTGACCTAAATCCAGAGCTTCAACGTCTATGACTGTAATCTCTAAGCCCTCTCTAGTTCTCAGCAGCCTATAGGCCAGGCTGTGATGTCATTTACACACACTGCTGTCATTTCCCCATCATATGAGTCTCTCACTTAAGCAACTCTGCATGAACAAATGTGTTTTTCAAAAAAAATGTCAGTGATGCGTATTGGTATGATCATAACAGTAATGATTGAGTTGTTTTTCAATCACAGGTATCTTGCAACATCCTGACGGTACGGTCCTGAAACAGCTTCAGCCTCCTCCGAGAGGACCCAGAGAGATGCAGTTCTACAGCAATGTGAGTGTTACAGGAGTGTTCTGGGTTCAAGGGTTCACAAAAGAAGATTTTTTTGAAGAATAGGGGTAACCAAACAGGCCCAGGGCCCCATTGACTTCCATAGTATGGAAAACAATGCAATGGAAGTCAATGGAGCCTAACAATTGTTTTGTTACCGACATTCTTCAAAACTACATCTTTTGGGTTTTATCCCTTTAAGTAGAGGAAAATTCACCCACAGGAATTGCGTAGGCCCGTTCGGACTAGGACGGCGTGATTTGGGGAAAATGTCATATTGAGATTATTGAGGTCAATATTGCGATTGCGATATAATAACAAAATGGTTTCATGAGTCAACTTGCTTGGTTCTCAAGGAAAATGCACACACAGATTAGTGATAATGTTGAAATGTGTATTTCTCAACTCAAACTAGTTACAACAACTAAATACACAGTGTTTTCAAAGTAAAATCATATTTTTTTTTTTACAAAATTAGGCTAAATAATGACATCTTTGCATTACTGCAAACTTGTTATTGTCTCAATAGTATAAAATAAATAGAACAATAAATAGGAACATTTATATGCTCATTTAAAATATGATATTTTGAACATTCTGTCAAGCAGGGACATTTAAGAAGGATGTAACATGCTTCGTCTACTCTAAACTCAGTCTGTGGATCATTTTTGGTGTAAGTGTATTGTGATTGTCAAAACCTTTGGTAACTAAACCGAATTTTGTTAAGTTTAGTGACAACATGTTACAATGTTTACATGGTACAATGACTTGTTGGCTACTGTTTTTATCATTGCTTGACACAAATTTCACGATTTCAATTCAAATCTTGTGATTTGATTCCGATCTTGATTCAATATCGATTCATTTGGATAAATATTAGGGAGCCTAACAGTAGATGCATGCTCATTTTCCTAATGCTGTAAACATACAGAGAGCCCTGTCAGCTGGTATTATTATTTAAAGGAGTAGTTCACTTTTTAAAAAACTTTTGCTGATAATTTACTCACCCCCATGTCATCCAAGATGTCCATGTCTTTCTTTCTTCAGTCGAAAAGAAATTAATATTTTTGATGAAAACATTCCAGGATTTTTGCTCTAACTCTAAAGGCCTTGTACTTTAAGCAAGATCAAATAACAAACTTGTGTAGGGCTGGTTTGAAAACATTGATTTCTCGATTTTAATTCATTCTCACTTGATGAACCGATATTGATTCTTAAATCCCAAGAATCTATCTTTTAGTCTGTGGTTTTTAGTTATGTGAACACAACTTCCCTAGACATTATTTGTCCCATCCAATAAATCACAATAATCTTTGTAACTTTTGATATTAAACTCAGCTTTTAAATTCTGTCAATTTTATAACAAAATGATTCTGTCAGTTTTACAACGAATATGACAGCCACTGTTTAGATGTTTAAACAAAAGGAATTGGAGTAGAAACATGATTCTGTCATTAAAAAGGATATTCTAACATTGTTATTATAAAAAGTAAATATAGTAATGTAATGTACCAACTAGCGTCCGTCCATCTATGCGACACATATTTTACAATTACACACCCACCACAGGTGTAGAGTGCAAACTCAAAATACCTGTTACATACCTCCGTTTAAATAGATTGTTGTGTTTGGGTGGGTTTCAGGAATGTTTGGATAACTGTAAAAGAATTCACGTTCACGTTTGTTTGAAAATATTTAGCTTATAGATCTCAGTTTAAATGCTTCAGTTTGTTTTTATTATATTCTATTATACGCCTAATAAATAATTAATCTCAAAAGGGGAATTCATGAGCAATAAATAAACATTTAATTTTGATGGTTTAAATGCACATTATGGTTATCCCAAACCATCTTAGTGTAAATGCTTAATTTTTACATATTATATTATTATAAAGAATTAAACTGTTCCGTGTAAGATTTTTCTTTTAAATGATTTTTTAATAGAATTAAAAGACTGGTACAGTAAAAGGAGAACTCCGGTCAATTTTAACATTGAGCTAATTTTTTTGTACATTTGGAGTGCTGTCAGTACTGACAAAAACGACAAAAATCGGTGTTGCCTACACCGTGTTATCCTCTTTTTAAAATTCGCACCCTGTTGACTTCAATGGGGCAAGTTCTAAACCTGCTTTTAGCCTCTTAACAACCTTAATGTGTCATTACAAGTGCACAGCCATGTGAGTGGTGTTATTAAGAGTGACCACGGTCAATCTGACTGCAGTAGATGTGAAAGATATTAATAAAAATGATGTTAATTCAGGCAGCTCACATACCTGTATTTACTTCCTGTTTTCGTTCGAAGTCCACAGGAGTCGATTGTCGAGTTCACGCGCGCGATCATTAGTTAAATTAGTTACCAATGATCGCGCGCGCGAACTCGACAAGTTCTGTGGACTTCTGTGGACTTGGACTTAAAATTGACCGGAGTTCTCCTTTAACACAGCACTGTAAAATAATTTTCTCAGGTAACCTAACATTTGTTTAATTTAGTGACTTCTGAATTAACGGTTTGTTTTCAAAAATAGGATTTCAAATTCACATCAAGGGTCAAATATCAATAGCATAGCAATTTAAAGTTAAAAAACAAATTAATCTATGATATAACCACATTCCGTGTGTTTACGTCCGCTGTACAGATCTGGTATAAAGAATGTTTTTGCTCAGGTGGCCAAAATATCCGGCCAATAGATACAAGTTTTGCTCGGCAAGGAATTTTTTTTTTTTTTGAAGGAAACATTGGCACCTGGCATTAAGATCCATTTCGGTCATCTGGTCACAAGTGATCAAAACTAAACCAACTGTAAATGGGGTCCAAAATGTTTCATGATCTAATTGCTGAAATAGGGAGCATAGTCAAAAACACGTTATATCATTGTGTTTGTAGTGTAAACTCTAATGTGTCCTGGACAACAGGGAAGGGCCACCTACTCACCTGTCAATGAAACACTGCACTAAAATAAGGGATTTAAACTGTTTTTTTGCATTGCCGACCATGTGACTTTAAAAAAAAAAAGTAACCATCCAATCTGAACACGTGCACGCAGAAATGGTGTGACGATTTATTTGCTATTTCTTATGTTTATTGTTTTATCAAGGCACAGTTACAGGCATAGCAAGTGATGTATCCATTCCAATAATTTCACAGTGTGATCCTGTTTTTGACTCCAGGTGTATGCGGATGACCACTGCGACCCCTGTCTTGTAGACCTCCAAGCGCACCTTCCCAAGTACTATGGCACGTGGTCCTCTCCAGACTCTCCCGCAGGTAAGCCGACGGATGCATGGAGCGATGAGGAGATTGGTGGATATACAGCGTGAGTTTAGTAAGCATGTCTCCTCGCTCTGTTCCACAGACCGGTACCTCAAGCTGGACGATGTGACGCGCAGGTTTCAGAAGCCGTGCATCATGGACGTGAAGATCGGCCAGAGGAGCTATGATCCCTTCGCTTCACAGGAGAAACGGGAACAGCAGATCAGGAAATACCCGCTGATGGAGGACATCGGCTTCTTGGTTCTGGGGATGAGGGTATGTTTTCTTCTTTAAAATGTGGGTTTCATTGATTACCTTCTAATGGAAATATGTCTAATGAATTATTGAATTAATGTGCCCCTATTAAAGTTATTTTAAAGATTCCTACTTTTGTTTTTGAGGTCTCCTGAAATAGGTTTACATTAGGGGTTAAACGGACTGTAGTTGATTTGTGAATCACAGTTCGACATGCGTGTGATTCGCGGATTAATATCAAAGTTTCACCATCATAGAGTGAATGTTTATCATTTGAACATGTTTTGTCTTGCCAATTTACACATTCAAGCGATTTTAAAACGTTCGGGCGCAAAAAGAGAACTCAATTTGGTACTCGCACACCGTTTTCTGTGCGCACATACACACACAGAGGCGCGTTTCAGACAGAATTAGGACAGAATTCAGAATTTAATTCTTTTTTTAAATCATTTTCTAAAAAATACTTCGAAACGACGTCCTTTTGAAAGAAATCTTGCACACAGCTTTGCCTCTTCCTGAGAAATAAAACAAACACAAAAATAACATCAGTAACATATTTAAACATGAAATATAACAATATATCAACTGTTTTTTCAAAGAGGGTAGTGCATCTGAATATTATTTTAACATAAAATCTATGAATGATGACAAATAATTGTATTTCAGAAAGGGTAGTAGTGAATTCATATCATTTTATTATGAAATATACGAACGCAGGAAGCATTTTAAACTTTATTTTTAACTAATGATACTATTTATCATAACATGTAAGATGTATACAGTCACAGTGTAGGCCTAATTAGGAAATGTGTTTTTTACTATAATCTGTTATTAATTACCGTGGTTGGGAGTATGATTTACTTAATTGCACGAAAATGCACCTGTATTTATCTGCAAAAGGTTTCACATACACTAGATTACATCCTAGTGTTAATGTAAATCTAACGTTGGTCGTTTAATTTTTAAGTATACATGTGCATACACAACTTCTAACAACTGGCAAATGCACTGAAAGCGTCGTTGCCAGATTAAAGTTATAAATTAAAGTCCATTTTGTTGTCGCCGTGGGTCAAAATATCTGTCTCGGCAAGCATTCTCATAAACGCAGTCGGTTATGAACAGTTAGGTTATAAATCATATGAACTATCCCTTGTGAACTATGCCAGTTTAAAATGATTATTCCTGCATGCATGATTATTATCAATTAGTTGTTGCAGCCCTACTTGCATTCATACCTAGTCGTGCAGATATAAGGGGTTCTTTTTAGTGTGAGGATGTTGCAATGTCCAAATTAGGTTTATTTTTAATGTGTTTAAAGGAATATCTGCCGTCACATTCGTGTCATGGAACTTGTGAATTGCGTGGGGGCGTGTTTGTGTAATATCAAGCAGAACTTGGGGTTGAGGTGTCAGAACCAGTCAGAACAGCTTTGCAAGTTGCGGACAGACTGTCACAGACTCGCCTAACAAGTTTAAAGGTGGTTGTTCCACTCTCTACCAGCTCTTTTGTATCATCGGTACTTCCTGTATAAAACCCAAACACTGCTGTCCTCATAGAGGTAGCCCTTGTCTTTTCACATGAGGATAACACAATAGTTTACTTATTTGATCATTAATTAATTTATTAATACACATTTATTTCATTATGTACTTTGTTTGATTATTGTGGGAAATGGGAATTCTATAATTCTTTGAGCAAAGTTGGAATTGGTGATTAAAAATGTCACGTTGCTTAGATGTACAGTACCGGTCAAAAGAAACATTATTATTTTAATGTTTTTGAAAGAAGTCTCTTATGCTCATCAAGCCTGCAATTTTTTTTGGGGAAAAATACAGAAAAAACAGTTTTTTATTTTAATATACTTTAAAATGTAATTGAAAACAGTTGTGTATTTTATATAAAAAAAAAATCCCAGAATTCTTTGATGAATAGAAAGTTCAAAAGAACAGCATTTATTTAAAATCTAATCTAATCATGTGACACTGAAGACTGGAGTAATGATGCTGAAAATTCAGCTTTGATCACAGGAATAAATTACACTTTACTATATATTTACATAGAAAACAGCTGTTTTAAATTGTAATAATATTTAACAATATGACTGTTTTTGTTTGTATTTTTAAGCAAATAAATGCAGCCTTGGTGAGCAGAAGAGACTTCTTTTTTTAAAAACATTAAAAACCTTACTGATCTAAAACTTTTGACCGGTAGTGTACATGTGTATATATATGTGTATATATATATATATACATACACATATGTATATCATTCATTCCTGAATGTGGCTTTGCTGTTCCAGAGGTGCTGCCATTTCAGCTGATGATGAGCTTCGGTATGGCCAGTGTTTAGAGGTTTTAATTAATGGTCCGCAGCTTTAGAGGGAGCAGAAGGGAATGAAAGCTCAGTGGTAAAGCCACAGCGCTGCGTGAACTGGAGTCACATGTTTACTGAGCTCTGGACACAGCAGGCAATATTAACAGTGTCATCAACACTGCTGGAGTGAAGTGTTCGGATAGCTTGGAAGGGACATTTGGTCTGTATAATCATGGAAAATGAGTATGCAAAGACACAAAATTGGACCTAGCATTTACTGCAATAGTGGTTGAAGCAATCATAAAACCTCTGTAAACTGATGAACTTTGATCACTTTAACTACTGAAGATATGCATAATGTTGTGTAAACTGTAATAAGGGACTCCACACTCCTAGTCAAAATTATTAGCATTATTAATTAGCAAATTGAAGAAACATCTGAGATCAGATCAGTTATAGTATGGGTGCTGTTACTTGCATTTTGACTTGATGCACATTATTGCTATATTTTTATGTAATATATTAAGTGTATTATATCCAGATATATACTTCTAACTGGATATATATATTATATCCAGTTAGAAGGCTTTTCAATCTACAAATCGCCAACATTTACAATAGATAATTGTTTTTAATGACCCTACAAGTTCGATTAAACCGTCAAAATATGAGGAAAATATGGTATATTTGTTAATGCTTTAAATGTGAGGGAAGAACAAAACACTAAACGTGATTAACGTATTTATCTGGCAAAATTATTTGGCAAAAAAAGGCGAACTACACTTAATATTTTACTAGGCTCACATGAAAAAGCATACATTGACTACTACAATATAATCCGTTATTAATATTTCGTTGGCTCTCTTGTTTTTCCTTGTTCATAATTTCTTTGTATGACAGCATGGGCCAAAATGATCTCTATACATCATTGCTTTATCAGAAATAAAACAATTGACTCCAAGCATAACTACGCAATATGCTTACAAATCTTTTAATACATTTGTTATCATATTTTAATAAATGGTGAAGATGTCAATTTTTCCTAGGCCGTGCATCACTTTACATATATAACTACGGCAACTACTGTAGTTATATATATATATATATATATATATTAGGGCTGTCAGTTAAACGCGTTATTAACAGCGTTAACGCAAAGTCATTTTAACGTCGTCAATTTTTTTATGGCGAGATTAACGCTCTTTTTGGCCTAGCAAACTTTGTCGTTTTTTTCACATGCTTTTGCAACAGGACGCGGCATGCGCGGAAGGACGTTTTGTTGCTTTGTCGACCAAAGCGTAAGCGGATCTAGCTAGACCGGAAACCAAACAACAGGCACGCCACACACACTTGTTTGGGCTTGCAAACCGGCCAAATAGTTGGTTAACGTTAAGTTTTGAGTGGATGACGAGCGCGAGATGCCGAAATGGATGCCAATAAGATTCTGAATGGAAAGTTTACTTTTAAAAAGTTGCCAAATGGTTCCATTGACGAGACCAAAGTGATCTGTGTGTTTTGTCGTTGTGAACTGAGCTATCATCATCGCAGCACGTCCAGTCTTAAATACCACTTGATGATGGCCAAGCACACACACACACAGCTGATGCGAATTCTCCGCCCCCTCGTCAATATCAGGACCTCGTCAGTATTTCTTTCACCCTTTTATTGATGGACAGTGTTACATTGTGTGAGAGATTATTTGCTCCAAGTTAGAATGTTAGTGTGAAACTGAACACAGTATATGCCAATGCTGTTTTCAATAAAAAACATTTGCACAAAGCAAGCCGATCCACTTTTCCATGTTGATAAAAGCATTAAAATGAGAAAAAAAATAATGGGACAAAAAGAAATCAAGAGACATTTAGAATAGATAAAAAGGTGCGATTAATCGCGAGTTAACTATGACATTAATGCGATTAATCGCGATTAAATATTTTAATCGTTTGACAGCACTAATATATACACACACACACACACACACAATGATAGTGATGAGCCATGCATGGTTTTGCTTGTGGTTATCATGATCTACAAATGTATGATACCATGGAAGAACAATGGTGACTTTTAATGAGCAAATACAAAGAAGGCCTGTTGAACATGTCATTTGTCAGCTCTTTTATCATGAGCATTTAGAGCCATGCACATTAGCTTGTATCTATCAGGACTGTTTGGCATCCATGTTCTGTAGGGGCGTAACGGTTCAAATTATTCACTGTTCGGATTTTATCACAGTTTCAGTACGGTCCGGTATGTGCTATGGTTAAGAAAAAAAAGGACTACTGTCAAATATAAAAAAAGAAACCAAGAACAAATAATCAAACTACAATAAATGCATTAGAGCAAAGATAAAATAAAAATAAACATTGCTTTTCAGGTTATTTAGGCATCTAAAAGTAGTTTTCATTTAATGAAGATTGATTAAGGAATCAAATGTAAAATAACACTGTACAAATTAAATAAAGATTAATCATTAAGCTATGATCAGTCTTTTGTTGTTTGATTAGCATTATAAACTGTTGGAAACTGAGAAGCGAAGACCAGGAGACTATGTTGTGTTTTCAGCAGGATTCTTTATTGAGAACACAAGCTGTTGGTTGGTGTAGTCATCAAGTCTAACTGAGGCAGTGTACATTGTAGTTTATACAAATTTTAAGAGGCAGTGCTTAGAAATGGCGACAACCTCTGGCTGACGACCTTAAACAAAG